ACGACTCCGCCAACGTCAACAACAACGATATCATTTCCGTCAACAGAGCCAACATCGACAACAGAACAAAATTCAACAGTAACGACTCCGCCAACGTCAACAACAACGATATCATCTCCGTCAACAGAGCCAACATCGACAACAGAACAAGATTCAACAGTAACGACTCCGCCAACGTCAACAACAACGATATCATCCCCGTCAACAGAGCCAACATCGACAACAGAGCAAGTTTCAACAGTAACGACTCCGTCGACGTCAACAACAGTGATGTCATCCCTGTCAACAGATCCAACATCGACAACAGAACAAATTTCAACAGTAACGACTCCGTCGTCGTCAACAACAGCGATGTCATCTCCGTCAACAGAGCCAACATCGACAACAGAACAAAATACAACAGTAACGACTCCGCCAACGTCAACAACAACGATATCATCTCCGTCAACAGAGCCAACATCGACAACAGAACAAGATTCAACAGTAACGACTCCGCCAACGTCAACAACAACGATATCATCCCCGTCAACAGAGCCAACATCGACAACAGAGCAAGTTTCAACAGTAACGACTCCGTCGACGTCAACAACAGTGATGTCATCCCTGTCAACAGATCCAACATCGACAACAGAACAAGTTTCAACAGTAACGACTCCGTCGACGTCAACAACAGCGATGTCATCCTCGTCAACAGAGCCAACATCGACAACAGAGCAAGATACAACAGTAACGACTCCGTCGTCGTCAACAACAGCGATGTCATCTCCGTCAACAGAGCCAACATCGACAACAGAGCAAGTTTCAACAGTAACGACTCCGCCAACGTCAACAACAGCGATGTCATCCTCGTCAACAGAACCAACATCGACAACAGAGCAAGTTTCAACAACGACAAACCCACCTATGACAACATCAACATTGTCATCTTCGTCGACAGAGTCAACAACAACAGAACTAGCTACAACAGTAACGACTCCGTCGACGTCAACATTAACGATATCGTCTTCGTCAACAGAACTGACAACACCATCAATAACAACTACACCACCATCGACTTCGTCACAATACTATGTAATACCAAACAACGTGGCCAGCTGTCTCTGCAAGTGTACTTTGATAAACAACACAACTTTGGAAATAGGTAGTCTTCAGTTAGCAGAAAAACTCGAACAACTGATAAGCGCAACAAAGATAGCAAAGGATCAGACTAAATCGGCATTAATGAAGAAAATAAGTGCTCCAGATGATCGTCCAAGTGCAAGTACTATGGGCGGTCTAGGTGCTTCTCTCCTTTCTGTTACAGTTGGCATTTTTGTGGTATTTGACGTTTCCAAATTTCTATGTACAATCTGTTCCAAATAATTTTATTTAAAACATAAAATGCAAGAAGTCCCTGGAAAAAAAAGATTATCCCGTTTCTTCAGCATTTTATCTTCTAAGTAGCATACATGTGTACTGAGCAAACATTTCATTACACCTGATTGGTAAAGTCATGTGACTTGTTTCATACATAGGTACAAAGCAAACATTTTATTACATCTGATTGGTAGAGTCATGTTTGTGTGCATTGCAAGAGGAATTTATTAAGAATTGTTTTAAATACAAGATTCGAAATGATTACCATTGTAAAATTCAGTAAGACAAAGGTCTTCTAGTAACTAAAGGAACAGCAATTGTAAGAGACTGGAAACGTTCCAATGTATGTGTGTTATCTCCGATATATGTCAATGTATTTCAATTTCTTGTGTTGTTACCTTATTTTGTATGTAGATTATCGTATATATGAATTATCACCTGCCATTTGATGAAAACACTCACATCTCGTAAGTTTGGAACTGAAATATGTTAACATCTATGTCGGGGGTGGGGTGGATGTTACACAGAAATAAGAAAAAGACAAGAGTTAGAGGTTAGTTAGATTAGAGATATATAAGGATATACTGGAATAGATGTATGATTAATGAAGATATAGCAACAGTACGAATTGTCAAGTTTTCGAGGCAACCTGCTCCTTTATCAAGACACAATATTACATAAATTACACCACATACACAGAACATAAAACAAATTTAAAAAATTGATGCTCCTTTATCAAGGCACAATATTACATAAATTACACCACATACACAGAACATAAAACAAATAAAAAAATTGATGCTCCTTTATCAAGACACCATATTACATAAATTACACCACATACACAGAACATAAAACAAATACAAAGTTAAAAATCTAAATCGAGAGCGTTGGAATAAATTTAGGTGTCTCGATAATCCCTATTAATTAACACAACGCATAAAATACAGTAATGTTGTTGTTCTCAAGGTTCAAGATTTGAATAACCTGTCGAAATTGTACCGATGTTTGATATCTATCATCTATCCTCTAGGAAACATTGTTTATCTTCCAAATATGTATATATTACTATTTAATTATTGGTACATACATGTATTATATATTACACAAAAATGTTATCTATAGCCATTAGTAGGTGTTTTTACACAAGCATTTTATTGGATTAAGTTATTCCTTGTTTGATTTTGTTACTTTTTTGCAGTGAAATAAAAAACGGTACGATGCAAATATAAATGTTTTCGGGAGTAAAATCTTACTTTACTGTAACGTATTGATTATGGCAAATCTGAATTTAATTATTTGAATTTTCACGTGCTTTATATTTAATTATCTGAAGATTTAAGTTTTACGTGTGAACTATATCATCCGGCTGAATAATGATAATAGTGCAATGTTACTCAATTTGAAAAAATCGGCACTTTGAAGAAAAATCAGCGTTAGAATTGTGACACACTAGCAGCATTTAATGGGAGTAAAAATGTAATAGAAAGACTGTTACCTGTTTCTATATGAATATCAGTTATATTTCATTGGATGGATGAATGTATCAGAGTTCGACAACTCGATAAGGTATAAAGCAACAAAAAGTGTCTTCTATTTCAACACGATAGAAGAACGGACGAATGTTTAATACAGTAACACACATTAAAGGCACGACAGACTTTTCTACATCAGCCGCTTATTTCGATGTTTTCCTACAACGAAATCAACAAAGACAGGTTTCCCGCAAGTTGTATGATAGGCTTGATGATTTTAGTTTCTCTATTGGGAATTTGCTTTCTTTGGATAGCAACGTTACTGCATTCCATTTCTATGTTTTTTATATGTTCCCAATATAATGGCCTTCGTGCAAGATTTCGTCAACTGACAAACTAACTTATAACACAAGAAATGAAGAGATGCAGTTTGCTGAAAATTACGGGGAAGTTTTACGGTCGCCATAGAGACCTCATTGAAGAAAGAAATTATCATTATGCGATATGAAGCTGACCGTCCTTGATGATAGTTCGCTTGCTGTATACTTTTGTTCTAATTTGAGATCGTGACATTCCTTACTTAGATTGATGAAGATTTACATTCTCCTTGTACTTGTATGAATCTATCTTTTCTTCAGAATTTGCCCCAGTTTTATTGTATTCTAGTCTGGATAATGATTATGTTCACTTGTTTGCATTTTCTTGTTGTTTATGCAATATGTTAGAAAATGCTACTCTCTTTTTAGGTTTTGTCTTTGTACATAGAAAGCTAGAAACAATAAAGATAATGATAAACCAGTAATACGATGATCGATAACTCTTCATGTTCACTGGAATCTGCCAGAAGAAACAACACAAATTTGTTCAGTGTACAGGGGAACAACAATGGTACCATCAAGATTACTACGGTAGCGAACAACCTGCCGGAGTTGCGTTTCCATAAGAATTTAACAATTCTCACTCCGGATTTTCTAAAACGTGTGTAAGTGTTATTATGAATACTTATCCTACGACTGTTAGAGCTTACTGCATTAAAACCGTGTTTCTCAGGTTTGATCATAGAGTGAACACTGTGATGTATCTATGAGCTACTTTCTATATTAGTCTGTATCGCATACAATGGTGTTGTATAACAATATATATTTAGTCATAACCAGCTACCTCCAAAATTAACAACAACAGAATCTATTGCGCTAGCAGTATGTCAAAGCAAAAAATATCCATTTTCGTTTTGACTTGATTTCGCCTATCTCATGTTCAATATAGTATAAAACAGGTCAACCGCCATGGTCCTTCTCTCTGGTTGCATATTGAACTGTTAATCTTGACATCATTGTTGTAGTGCTGTTATCTCTGTGCATATATGAGTAAGTAAACATATTAATTATATATAATACTTATAGAGCTATATCATTGATTTGTTCATAATATAGCCTGGCTTGTACTCTACTTAAATTGTATCAATTATTCATTAAAGTAGGACTTCCCATATGAATATTGCGGCTTTGGGGATGCTCTTCTCTCTCAGGTGGTTATTTCAAAAGTGGCCACTGAGTGGACTTCACTCGACCTTGGAAATATGGTTAGCAACAGCCAGAATTGTTTAATCATTATATTGTGATTGAAATGAAAATAACCAGGGCAATAATGCCATGTTAGCATAATGTTTGGTTAAATTTGAGGTTTTTCAGTGATTATCTATAAAACATAGATTTAACTTCAATGAAAGACTAGATACTTACTGATACCGTATATGTGAACATAAAACAAATTCTTATCTTACATATTATGCACCATATTATCAAGATAATGCGTTTAATTATTCGTATAATTATCTATGACATATGACATAAAAACACAAAGATAAGACATTTTAATATGTTTTCATGTATATTTAATCTTATTAAAGAATTTATACAAACACACATTTGATATTGAAAAAGTAAAACAAAAGTTAAAAGTTGATACATGACTTTAAGAAACAAATGCAGTATAAAATTGACCTTGCATTACAAACATATAGAATAGTTCCGTAGTCATTTATTTTCAGAAAGGCATTTAGTTAACACCCCCTCCCCCCTACCATCACCAAACCACCTGTTATGTGTTTGTCATTCCTTGTTTTAATTTGAGGCCAATTTATACATATTTAAATGTATCTATATCATTCTACTTAAGTAGTATGACCAGAAAGAAAGCAAGATGTACTATTATCAGCAATGATGAAAACGCTACAATACAAACTTTATCGAAAGCATGTCCGACATTTGTCCATGTCATGACATTACCTGTACCCTCTTCTTTGTTGCATTCTTTTTTATTTCCGTCAAGTGTCACACTTGAAACGTTCAATTCATCAGAATCTGTGCCAACTGTTGAAACCTTATTTTTAGCACACAATGCAAATTTTATAAATGCAGACAAGAAATCTGGAACGTTTTCAGTCTCCAGTTTAGTGTACAATTTGATGCTGTAAATAGTACAGATCATGATGAAAGCACTAATGAGCATATCTGACATAAGCAAATAGCAAAAAATGGCAATTCTTGGTGACGACGCATTTGGTAAAGACTCCGAAACAATGGACATAAAAACAATGATGGCCAGCAATATGGTGATCGAGAGTTCTACACGTTCGCCTGAATTGGCCGGTAGGACAAACACAAATATGTTGAGTATACAGAGTGACAGCAATGGTATCATCAGGTTAACTACGGTAAATGCAGATCGTCTTTGAAATGAAAATCTTAGCATTAATGAATTCACGTCTGAATTCATTTGACAGTCCAGTAATTCCCATACTGGATTCTCTACATAAAACCTCAAACCTATTTTGGTTGACGTAGGTTGTAATCGTATTTGTTGACTGTTATATCCCGCTACAAACACAGCAATTTCGCAAGTCTGATCATCAAATGGATAGTAGGATATATCGGCGTTACAAATAGTATCAAAGATATTAGCAGGTTCCCAGTTAGATATACCTTCATTAGTAAAAGACAAAATGCCGTTAGGGTTTCCGAGTAAATCCACGTTCTCATATGATACTGAGTAAGTCAGTGGGGGTATCCAAACATCTTTTTCATAGAAATGCATCTCTTGTATACCACCGTAACTCCTTGGATTCCAGGTAAAACGTTCATCATACCAAGATATGGTAAAGTGACCAGCAATAGAAAATTTACTTTGAACTTCATCGAACGATTTGATAATTCTCATCCCAAAGGAGACGTTTAAAAGAAGTGTCTGCTGCATGTAGTCTTTCCCTGGCCGAACTGCTGATTCATAACCGTGTACAAGAGTGTTGTATAAAGATGTTTTATACGTGGAGTTGTTGCATGTAACCTCCACGGGAACTATCATCAACACCAGCATCAACTTGAAGAGTGATGAAGAAATCGCGATATCCATTATCGAATCTGTAGATTTGTCAGTATTAAGCTGAATCAATGTCAATCTTTACTTACATACACTGTCGCTAAAATGACGTTATTGGTTGCAAACTTCTCTCGACAAAGATAGTCCGACAAAGTAATAGCAATATGATTGATACAAATTATCACTTTTAGCTCAATGGATTTCAGTCATCTCAATGTATAGCTAGCCGTATCCGTAGCACACCACCTTATACAGCGGTCGTAGTTTACATGCCCTATCCGACTTTGTAGCGATGGTTTTTATCACAGCTTAAAATGACAATGACGGTCCTGTTATAATGTTAAAGAGACAATAATTACTTAAGCCACACATACGGTATATATCACAGTGTCAATCTTTACGATATCAATAGTAGATATAAGTACTTTCACATACTAGTTCGTTTCCATTATTTGATTTGCCCCCTAAAGCGTGTTTTGACATCAGTTGGTCGTCTTTCGGTATTTGTCGTTCAGCGATACCTAACGACGCGGACAATTACGTTGATACAGTAACGATTCAGTTATTACAATGCATAGTTGTTTCATTCCAATACTATACTAGATATTTACCTTGTAAAGAAATATACCAAAAGTTGCCATAGTTACATGATCAATGAGCATAGTGCCTAAAGCAATGTTAATGTCCTCAGTTATGAATGTTATTGACATTAGTCCACACGATGAACAATTGCCCGGATTAGGAATCAATATTGTTCAACATGAAATATAAAACAAAAATCGACAATCGATATGTTTATACATAATGTGTTGTATACATCAGATTGAATTCGAACTGGTTTTGACATGAAACAATAAAAGAAACATTTACTTGGCAAAACAAGTGAAAATAGTGGGCCCACAAATAAGCAGTATTTTGAAGATGTGCATTGTTTAATTGAGGAACCCATCGTTTTCACTTGTACATGGCTTATCAAGCCAGAATGTATTAATCAAACCAAAGATTAATTGATTTCAAATTATGCAGATGATTCTAGTTTAGCACGACTGATTACCATGAGGTTTATTAAACCTTACACAGTTATTAGTAGTAGGGATAAAGAACATGAACATTTTATATATGTTGTAGATAACGTACTAGTACATATATTTGTATGTGTGTAAATATGTTTGATGTGCTTGTCTTTTCATCATGAGTTACTCCCCCTCAGCCTTATTTAATCTTAGCTTCCTGTATTTAATTTTCATTTCAAAATTGTCATATATTATACAAAAGATACAAGAGTAAATTACATTAGAACCAAACTATCAATTACATTACATCATAAAGCTGTTATTCTGGGACTCGTCAGTAATGATAAGGGCCTAATGTTTGCAGCCTTGGAGGCGATTAAGGAAAATCCGAAGTGATCAAAAGAAAAGTCAAAATCTAGACGGGGAGGTGCAGCAGTCCCATTATCAGATAAATATTGTTACATTTATACATCAAATAATTTTAGATCAGCGTCAGGTATATGTGTATTTTCTGCACCGTGCCAGTATTAGAGAGAATTAAAACGTGGCAAGCAGGTAACAGCCACCTCAGGGACTTCAAGTCCACAAGCAAGTGTACCACTTTCTAAATGTATCTTAAACATTTTACAAAAGACACACAAGTAAATAGCATCTTTTCATAACTTAGAGTGAAATTCAGTAACACTAAACAATAAATTAAACTGCATCATATAGCTGTTATGTCACACAATTGATAAAAGATAAAAAATAAAGAACTGAGTTTCTATAGTTTCAAATAAGTGTGAGATAAAGCTTATCTGTATGTTAATGGGATATTTTTGTAAAACAAATAAATAAGGTTGTTTTACAAAACATTCAGACCTGGAAGTCAATCAAGGTTCAATGCAGCAAAAACATAACATAAAAATAACATCATTGATTTCGTTTCCTTTTCTTTCAGACTTAAAATTGAAGTTCCCTTCCTGTATAGAGAAGCAAGCCAGTTAAGCTGTAACAACTTTAGATACAATCAATGATAATATATTTAGTTTATAACAACTGTTACTTGACAAACGAAGGAAAATGTAGAGTAATGAAATGGCCAGGAGTACGTGCAGGATCTTTTATGGAGCGGCCTGAGTTTCGGCGGTAGCAGCAGTGGTTTTCGTGGCAGCCTTAGAGGTTTCTGTCGGTGTAAGCGCCCTCTTCCTGCGCCTGATCACGAGGTACACCAAAAGGTTTAAGACGCCACCAATATTAGAGAACGTCGTAACGATTTGAAACAGTGCTACTGGTGGTACATCAAACAGGAACCATATCCCGTTCACGGCAAGGGCCCACCACTGGACAAAGAAAGCCGTCAGAAATAAAAACATGTTCCGGGCGGCTCGATGAGACGCTTTCACTGAGGCACTCGTGCCTCCTAATGTGGACTCCAGACGCTTGGCTTCACTTGCAATTCGATACCATGTGAGGGCGTACAACACTGAATTGACGGTTAGGATCATGCACATGGACCCTGTGGTAAGTACGATATTACTTATCCGGCCTGTCACACCATCTAGAAAACAGCTGCAACACACAAAACATGAAAGCAATTAGGATCACTGCCAAAATTAACAGTAAAACAGTCAATTGGAACGCCATATAGCATATCAATAGGTCAACTAATTCATTTTTTTATTATGCTCAACATTTTTCTGTTTTTCAATTTGCTATGTCCCGTAGTGGTTACGAGGCACTCATTAATTGATGTTTTATCATAGCAACAAGACGTTTGACTGATTTCATTATAATTCACAATAATTTTCAAAAAAAAAGAAGAAAAAAAAAATTTAAAAATTAAAAGTTTTGAGGCAAAGTAAGCCTGAGTCATTTTTAAAAACCCCTTTATAGTGCAATAACGACATTCAAGTGGCAATAGATATGTCTTCTATCCAGTATGGTTTAATGCTGGTATATATACCATAAATGACCTAATTAAAAATTCTGATCATTTGACATTTTTCTCCTTTGATGAGTTTCTTCATAAATTTTTAATCAGTACCAACTATTAACAGTATTGTGGCCTGATTACAGCCGTCAAGTGTTTCTTCAGAAAACATGACTTCCATCCATTAGGACTATTTCAGCCCTTTTATACCACTTTTATGTGAATGTGCCAAAGACTTCTACAATTCTATTAAACCAGCACCAACCCCTACTGGTATACGAAAATGGAGTAATGAGTTTGACTTTGATGAAGTGGAAAATTATATTAATAATTCCGTTTACTATTACAAAAAGTTCTAAGCTACAGTGGTTTCAGGTAAGGATCATACATCCCATTCTGGTTACAAACTCCTTTCTTTTCACTATGGAAAGAGAAACTATCGTTCACTGTCTGTGGGAGTGTATAGAGGTAGATACTCTATTGGAGAGATTCGAATCTGAATTTGATATTCTTCTGATTCCTTTTTGGATATACAAAGAAACATCTTTATTTGGAATTATCCATCCTAATGCTAACACTGTAGGTAACGAAATTTTAATTCTCATTAAACACTATGTTTATATGTCAAGATGTCTACAAAAATATCTTAATTTAAATGCTCTTATAAATAATATTAAGGATCATTTCCATGTTCAAAAGGACAACATTTCTAGCAAAAACACTATTATGAAAACAAATTTTGAGAATAATTGAAAAAAATGGATGCCCATTTTAGAACTATAGTATGTATGCTAACAAGTCTGTTCCCAATGGCCATGGCCTTGACTTCATCAAACTGACTATCAATTTATTTAATTTCCACAAAATCAGTGCTATTTTTATTTAATAATGATTATAGCCCTCCCAATTCTCTCTCTCTCTCTCTCTCTCTCTCTCTCTCTCTCTCTCTCTCTCTCTCTCTCTCTCTCTCTCTCTCTCTCTCTCTCTCTCTCTCTCTCTCTGTTTAGGATGTATAATGTTTATATATATATATATATATATATATATATATATAAATGTATTCATGAGTGATTATATGTGTGTGAGGAAATATCTTTGATAAGTGTAAGTGATACGATATTGTATTTGTGTATGTGAGTATGTTGTAAAGTACATGTAAGTTTGCTATGCGAGTGTAATTAGGTGTGAATGTTGATGAGTGAGTTTGTGTGCAGTAAGTAGTAGATGCATGTGCATGATGATAAAGATGATGATGATTATGATGCATGTATATGTGTAAGACATATTCAAGTCAGAGCACACAAGTGTGAGAGTGTGGGTGTATGTTTTTTTGTGGATTCTCTTGTATATTGTGTATTGTGTAATATGTAAATCTTGTCAAAAAAATAAAAGAATTACAGAAAAAAAATTATTTTTCTAAATACGTATATTCAGCATGTTTTCTTTCCATTTCTTTTTGGTAAATTTTTATATAGGTATAAAACTAATATCAAATGCATATAAATTTACCAGTAAAATTTTCTGAAACGAAATGAAACTGATAAGTATGTACAAGCATAAATACACACCAGGAAACCAATACAAATTGTGGATGTGTAAAATAGAATCACCGGGAAAAGTTAACCACTATTATGTTATGGATAACAAACATAAGGAAATAACAGAGAAATCACCGTATATCCTATCTCAGTTATGCTGTAAAAAATAAGAATCTCCGTTTTAATTTATAGGGTACTTGACAATATCAAGAGACAAGCAAAGGACGATAACTCTTGATATAATATAATATATATGATGAATACAGTACAATACTAATAAACACCGATAGGGTAGATTAAATAAAAAGGAAACTATAAGATTCAATACCATAACGAATGCTTATATAATAAAGAACAAAAGAGCAACATAAAGTACACTTAAAGTGTTAAACAAATTCGATGACAACCATGTGATTGGTGGACATATGAAATGATAAATAAACATTTATAATCAGCAAATACTACATGACTGTTTCGAGTAATCGAGTCCAGAAAGTTTTATTCTGGTCATGCTTACAATAATAAATGTGGACAAAATAGGTTGCCCTGCAACGCCATATCTTAATTGTGTACCATTATAATATATATCTCCATTGCTGAAATCTAACAGAAATAATGGGATTTAGTTCCTTACCTTTTGAACAATACATAGACGTATTACAATGTCATGGCTGTCTCTCCTGGATTTATATTTAGCGTTCAATACGATAACTTCTATTTCGGAACGACGCAATGATCACACGTCGATGTGCTCTTTATAATTTATGGCAACCGTTATTTCTACTGAGTTAACAGGGGATAAAACATACATATTTAGCTGTTTAGTTTACTTAAGGCAGTAAAACAATAACCAGGTGGATAGAGAGGTTTTCCCCGTCCTGATAGCTGAGTATTTATATTCTTGCAAATGACAATAACCAGGTGGATAGAGAGGTTTTCCCCGTCCTGATAGCTGAGTATTTATATTCTTGCAAATGACTATATTCTACATTTTCAGAACAATAACGCACTACCTTTTAGAGTATATACAAAGCAATTTTACCAATAAAAATCAACATCCTGATACAATGTGCACTTTTATGATTTTAAATCTTTTTCTTTATTTTTATTGGTGATAACATAGTGCATTAAAGATATATGTATTTTCTTCGATTGATTAACTGACTGATATCTTTAGTAGGCTCTATATCTCAATGTAAAAAGTTAATATTTGCAATATTTACAAAAGATTAATGAAAGATTAGATTAAAACATACACCAGAAACGTCATTAATGTGTGGTATAATATAGCTTTTTTTACCACATACCAGAATATATTTTACACTCAAATCTTTCTGTACCGTAAGGGTATCTTCCACTTGATATTGTTTTCAGAAACTTATAAACCTGATTTCTTATCATATTGCATTAAAACATTCACACAGAAAATGGTTTTATACACACTTAGATTAATGTTAATATTTCATCAATGATCATGCATGACTTTTCACATACCAAATAGTTACGCTCTTTCCTTAATGACACTTTGTCATTAATGTAAAAGCCATGTAAGACGACCAGGAAAGGATTTGTGTTCTGGATGGATTATCTTCTGAAACATGCATTATCAATTTTCCTCATGTAGGTAACATGGCATAAACAAACGATTATTCATAAAACACCGCAACTGATCAGTATGTGATAAATATGACTAAATATTGACTACACAAACCTTTCTTTCGTACATTTCTGCCCCTCTAATGAACATTACGCGATAGTGCACAACTCATTTACATGATTTATTTAATCTATTGCTTTCAAAGTCAATTTGATGTATCAACCAATAAAAAAAGGGCAATCGCTATGACAAGTAGGGGGAGTGTAAGTATTACCAATCATACACATTGTACCCAGGTTTTAAAAAACACCAATTTGTCAATATAATTAAAACGCAAATTCAATTTAGCAAGGACAAAATATGAACAAATAAAAAAGAAAACATTTTCCGCGAAGACTTCTTAAAAACAAGGAGAGTAAGACCAGATTTCCCGGGAGAGTTGGTGTCTCCTGTTTCATCGACGTCACCTGCCATATATATCTTAGTCAATCCAAAAAAGTAATGTCACATTCTCAAATGAAACAAGGTATTCAACAAAGGAACCAACAACGAACGAGCATAAAACAGGTCCACCTTTATATCGCACTACTTGAATTATTGAGAAGTTGTATGATGTAGCTTCATTAATGATTCCTAGAAGGACGAAACAGATGTATGATGTAGCATCACTGATGATTCCGAGGGAGACGCAACAGCTGTATGATGTAGCATCACTGATGATTCTTTTTTGACATCATTATAGGAAACATGTTCTATATTCTGTTTAAAACTGACATGCATCTGTAGCTAATTTCTGCAGCAGCTAAAACAGACTCAACAAGCATGCCATTGCCGTTGTCTGTTGTTTGGTGGATAATTGTTGTTATACTGTTTTTCTGCACTACTTTGTTTAATTGGAGCAATTTGGTTTCAGTCCAAAGAGGAAATATGGTTTGATGTATTCGTTCTCTGGATATGAGAGCTCTCTTTTCAAAGACATGTGAATGACGGTATAAATACACGGTTGTCAACTATACTGAAACGTACACCTATTATCACGATTTTCTTGCAAGAAGTCGTTATCTAACGGACAAACACGAAAAGAGGGTTTTCAAGAAAATGCAGGTTAATGAAAATAACTAAATTAAAATTTAAAAAATTATAGTCGCCATAGTGACCTAATTGAGAAATACGCTATTTCTTTGATGTGAAACTGGACGTGTTTGATGCTCGTTAGTTTGATTGTTGGTTCCGTTGTTGTATACCTTGTTCTCATTTGAGAACGTGACACTTACCTGGATTTGTATTTTCTTGATGTTTCTCGAGAAAGAAGTTCAAATCAACGAAGAAATATACATTGTTGTGAGCGCATTTGGGGAAGTCGTAAAGTCATTAATCAAAGGGTTTCTCAAATTAGGTCATAAAGACTTCGCGAGGGCCTCCAATTTTATTTTCAGAAATGCTCATGCCGTCTTCACATTAAATAACAGAGACTCATCGACTCATAGAATCATTTCTACGCAAATTAATTTCATAATGTTTTCCTTCCTAATTACTTTCGAATCATGTGTGACTATTTTTTTAGAATGTAGTTCCTCGAAAATTGTCACCAGTGACTCGATATTTTACTTTCTGTACTTAAAATTTCTCCATCATACCAAAATAATATTTAACACAAATAAGCTCAATATTTTAAATCATTAGTGTGATTTTATCGTGATCTTTAGATAACCGTCATGTCATTACTATACACTTTGTCTGACAGAAGTAAACAATTCCGAGACGTAAATGGCGTCTATACCTACAGACCATTGATATCGTAAACTTCAAAGACGCCATCACTGAATATTTATTCCTTTTTATGGGATAAATAACAGGACAGTCACAGAAAATTGATTTTCTTCGCTATCATTAAATCATAGCCGTAGAAATCTGAACAACTCTAGCGTCTCTCTTGATAGAATATCTCACTTTCCCTAAGCACTGAATGGCTGTGATATTTGAATTAATTCGGATGAAATGCTGCATCATTCGCTTGAACTGAATAGAAAGCTCCGGGACTTTGAGATGTTAAAGAACACGTAGATTCACATTTACGGACTTTTGATAGAGTTACCCTGTCATCAATGCGCCTTAATTCAACTTTATTTCAAAGAACCTGTTACATTTAAATAATAACGTATATTAGGGCTTCGTCTTCCTTTGTAGAAAGGATCTATACGGCATGTGTCTACGTTTGAGAATGTTTCCGAGACTTTATGACAGTGGATGAAGGAGCAAATGAGACAAATTATCCGCAGAGATGTCTGTTACAACTAAAATAATGAATACGGCATTTGTGTTGTTCGTAGAGATACAATTAGAAGGCTTACTACGCCTCATCGTTAATTCTTATACACGGGGTTATACAAAGTACATACATACCTGCAGAAAACGATATTCATCTCAAGTAGCATACTACATGTATTTCATAATTTCTCAAGTAATTTAAAATTTCGAATGGACACAAATAGTTACTTTTGATATCATTTTGATATATATGAAGATATTAATTTTCTTTTCTCTTTTTATATGATATCCGTTTACTTAGACTTTGTGATGTTGATATTTATTTCAGTCTATAAAAGTGATAAGATCTATTGAATATTTACCATATTTTCTGCTTATTCTTATAGCATGCTTTCATAGTTTTCTTGTTTTTTTATATACGACACGTATACGAAAACTAGCATATTTATAACGTTATTTTATATCAGGACGAAGACAAAATCTGGGTATTTTAACTCAGCACATACTCCGAGTGGGACTCTGACGATAGGAAATGCATATTATTATGTACATATATATATATATCAGAATATAACTATGTAAGTATTGTGAACTGACACGATGATCACACATTGTATCATAGTTCAATAATGTACCAGGAACGCATAATGTTGACCACAGATAACCAAGTGTAAAATCATCAATAAGCACCACAAAGAAGCATCAGTGTATCCTCAAGCACTGTATAATATTAAAAATGTTCTTTTTCCATACAAAAAAACATTTTATGAAGGCAATGGACCCGTTTCATTTTACACACTTACGCGGTGTAAGGACAAAACCAATGATTACGCGGCACGTTAAAGGTTTTACACAATACTGAAATATATCTAAACTAGCTTGTGTAAAAACAAGGAAGACCAACATGCCAATAGAATAAAAGCAAATATGATGATTTACTCATAAATGAACACGTTTTTTTTCCCTGTTGGCCTACAAGTGGTGCCACATTCAATAGCATATCCTAAATGTCAGCTTGACTCATAAATATCAGCAAATAGACATCTTGCTTAAATTCAGTAAACATTTTGACAAGTGTACCACTTCTTGAAGACTGATCTTTCGAAAGCGATGTTGCAACTATAAAATGTAATTCATATTTGGAAAATTCCAAATAGTACAGCTCTTTTTGCGAATTTGATCTTTACCATTTATTGATACCTTCATGCCCCACTTCAGTCACAAGAAACGTCCAAATCAAAGCGGAAATATAAAGAGGATGAAATGATATCAATTATCGAATTTCTGGTTGAAACATCTTCCAACAGACTTTTGGCATACCTATGGGAAATAACTGCACCCATCTGTTGCTTGACTTGTTTTTTGTTTTCAATCGAGGCAGAATTTATTGAAGAACTTATGTAAACATGTTACAAATATCTTGCAAAGTTTGAATTGGAAATCAGATACACGACAGACTGTACATCAGCTACTTACCTAGATCTTTTCCTGTAACGAAACCAACATGGACAGCTTTCCACCACGTGATGATTTCAATTTCCCTATTGTGAATTTTCCATTTCTGGATAGCAATATATCTGCCTCTCCAACCTATGGTATTTACATGTCAAATTTAGTTTGATATTCAGGGGTCTGTTCCCATTATCACGATTTTCGTGCAGGAAGTCATTAACTAACTGATTTTCAAAAGATGCAGGTTGTGGAAAATTATTGGGAAGTTAAATGGTCACCATAGTGAATATTAGGTTTGTTTTTCTGATATGAAGCTAGACGTGTTTGATGCTCATTCGTTTGCCTGTTGATTTCGATGTTGTATTCTTTGTTTTCATTTGAGAACATGACATTACCTCCTTCGATTGACTAAGATTTAATTGATGTTTTACTCTAATTTTTTAATATTTTACGAAGTGTTCATTACGAAGAGAAATCATGAAAGTAAACATTTCATGGATAGCATGCCTACAAAAGTAATATAACACTAAGAACTAACATACTAATGTAACAAAAAGATTTGTTTCAAAGAGAGTTCTGGTTCAATTAGTTAATATGCAGACAGATGTGGTAGGAAGTATCATCTCATTAAGATGAAAGAGACCAATGAAAGCTTTATATCTTCATAAATTGGTTTTTTTTACTCTGACTGGTCAGTCCTCTTCTTTTTCAATATTTTTGTATTGTTTAACAGGAATACTAAATTGCTTTTAAAACAGTGTTTGCTGTATGCACTTTGGAAATACAAATGTTTTCCCATTAAGGCGATTAAACACTTTCGCTCGTTTTTTTTTTTTTATCTGATCTTAGGGAGTAGGCGGAGATGAACGTGATATTACTTTCACTGGTCCGGCTTCTTGATATGTTCATTATGTTTCACATTGATACCAAAGACAATTAAAAATCGCTTTTGTAATGCTGGCTTTAGATAAAATTGTTGATCTTTTTTCCAAATTATTCAAATTAAATGGATAAAAATACAAAAGTCGGGTATACGTTGTTTCATACTGGATAATTTTTTCAAGTTTGTCTATGGTTTGGCAACAAAGATTTGCTCATTAGGATACGAACGGTCACTTAAATCACTTGGTAAAATATTCAGTCCAAATCAGTAATAGTTGTGCTCTAATCGCTCCAAAAATATGATATAAATCTGATTAGCCATTTCATGTGTAATTAGACATATATTATCAAAATAAAATATTTTCCGGGGGTCAGAACCTACCAATCACACTGATTAGTGAATGATGTTACTCCATTTAATCTCCGTTTTTACATTCCACACTCCACATTTTCAATTAGTGATGTGTCTTTTGAACAAATACAAAATCTGATATTTTATATGTCATTCTTAATCCTATTCCGGCTTTAATGCAGTTGATATACAATATTATCACAATTGCATGAAATTAATCCTAGTGATCAATAAACCCATAATAAACACTTTTTTCAATAAACAATTGTTATAAAATACAATACAATTAACTTCTATTTAATGCATGCCTGATATAGTCTCCAGGAGTGTTATTTCTCAAATACGTGCCTCTACTACGATATAGCGAAATAATGGAATGCTTTTATACATGTTTGTAAATTAAGTTTTGCTCTGCCGTACCTAACTCCAAATTATTAAAAGGTGCTATCCACTTGTATGTGTCTTTTGTACAAGCTTTAAACAAGTGATAGACACTGCTGGTGGACTTTAAGTCCCGGTGGATTGCTGTTACCTGTCTGCTATGTTTTAATTAATTCGAATAGTGGCATGTTTCACAATCTACACATATACTTGACGTTATTCTAAAATCATCTGATGTATAAAAATTACAAAATTTATTTTAAAAAATTGGGGCTGCTGCATCCACTCAACACTTGTGTCTTGTACAATCTTGTGATTTTAGATGTGGTGATTTCTTAAGCAAATTCCTAATATTTGATTATCGATATGATATATTACGTGAAGAACCGTTTGTCTGATAGTGAGCTGATTTACTACAATATTGACTGAAAATTTATCAACAAAATGATACTTGTTTGAAAAATCATAGAGAGGTAAGGACGTGATTTAGATGAGATTAAGCAAACACCAACTCAGAGAAATATAACTTACTATGCGCCAGTTGGTCCAAGTTGTCCTGTTGATAACAATATCATGGCGATCAGTAGAGGAGTTCCAAATGTCCAGAGTAGCAGGCGCCAGTCACGCTTCCCAAAATCTAGATTCTTTCCGAAAAATATCAACACAAATACGTTGATGGCTACCACGTTGACCATGAGAGTTTGAGCGAATACAAACTCTACAATGTTCACACTATAGAAAGTACAGAGTGACGCTGGTCTTACATGGTCTTTTGTCAACAAGATGTGTAGATGGTCAAGCGAATGACATATGTTGAAGAAAGCATCACACAAAGCCAGGTAGACTACGAACCTCTCGCTTTTTGACCAAGTGAAAAAAGTTCGCAGTCCGTGTTGTTTAATTGAGGCCGCAATTATAAAAATGGCCGAGGACAAACTCAGAAAAATGCATGTTACCGCCAAAATATGCAACGCATAGAAAGAGCCATTATCTATACCAAATACAGGTAAATCGTATCCGTTTGTGTAAGTCATTATCAATATCATATCAATTAGAAACAATAAGTCTGTTGTTAAATGTTGTAATGACTTTCACAACTACATTTCCAATCAGACGATGCCTGAGGGTATCAATAGATGTTACTTGTAACCCCACTCTTGTAGTTAAGCAGATATTGATCCGTAACAGAGGTGATCAAAGCCAATCATCATCCCACGGCCTCGCTAGTGATTAGGATACGTATCTAACATCATGTAAAATAAAATCTGTGTTTGTGATTAATCGACTTTCTCCTCTATTGTAGGAGACATAATATGTCAGTGACGTTTCAGACTTGTAAGCGTAACTTGTGTTGTTGTCTTACTTCGGTTCTCAATTTCAGATTGTGATACCTCTTGGATTTGTTCATAAACATAAGTCTTTTTTTCATTTTTCTAAAACATTAGCTCTTTTTACTTTTAACGCTATCTCAAATATTTGTGAATGTTATGCTACGTTGAGACATATACCCAGAAATGTCCTGTATCTAATCTGAATTCGATATTTGAAATTGAAAAACCTCGGTTTGAATATAATTTTGAAATCTTAGGACAACTAGGGAGTTTCGGAGTAAGAAGAGAATGTTGACAGAAAAATGTAAAATCAACGCAATCGTACCGACAAAAAAGAGTATTTGTGAAATATTTAATTTCTATTGACGAACTGATTGATCAAAGATAAACGATGAACTTCCCCACTTCACTCTTCAATATAGCTCTAATCTATCTTATGTTGTGGGTAAAACATTTCATGTTATATACTACATTGAAAGACACGAGTATTGAATAGTTCCACAGTATTAACCAAAACCTGACGATAGAAAAAAGATATAATGTTACTAAAATTTGTCTCTAGAAATATTTTACAATGTTACAAAGATTTGTCTGTAGGAATCTTTCATAATGTTATCAAGATCTGATGATAGAAATTTTTCACAGTGTTACCAAGATTTGTCTGCAGAAATATTGACCAAGGCTTGAAGATAGAAATGATTTACTGTTTTCTTAGGGCAGAGTCCATAGCACTTTTTATACTTTTTTTTTAACCAAAAGAATATATTTCTATTGATAAACATATCTATTTATTCATACTAATTTAGATTGCTATTACATGTATCTTTATATCAACTTTAAATTTAGAATGCTGTATATACTACCTAGCCCTGGTCTACAAAGATCCGCCACCAATCTGTCTTGTGGGATTTCATTTCTGACACTATTATTGCAGAAAATCGATTGTTGTGTGGTGGATTACTTCAAGCACGTGTCAAGATTTCGTGCTTTAACGATGTAAAAATATTATAAAATTTTAAGTATTCTCCTTTTATTTTAGGTAGAACTTTTCAAGAGACATTACACTACAGTGTACTGTTCATCATTTTCATATCCGTCCGAGCAAACATGTTGTCAGATATATGAAACAAAGTGTTCGTTATTATAAGTATTCTCAAAAAAGGAAAATTATCGATATCCCCATAATACTTGTTATCTTGGATTTTCAGTGATGAGTTCTACCTACGGAGATAGATTATTTCCATGCTATCACTTTGTTGGGAGTCATTGATTTAAGCTCAACAATCTACTTTACAATGTTAGAGGATAAATACTGGTATCAGTGCTGCTGATCAAGTTCTAATTAGAAAAGTACAATGTTTGACACCAGGGACGTTCTGTACTATTAATCAGATACGAACTATCAGAGTATTCGTTATGATTGAACACCTTCTCCTCATTCATATCGTTACGTTTCTTCATCTTTGTTGTAAATACATTCTCGCGAACGCTGTATTTAATGTTCAATAGTTAAAAAAAAAGAAAAGAAAATACCAACATCACAAAATAAGCATAATTCAAACTAAAATTCCATAAAACTAGGACAAAATATGAACAAGAAAGAAACATGTACACGGAGACTCCTGAAAAAGTACAAGGAGAATAAGACCAGGTGTTCCAAAAATATAAGCGTCTTCTGCTTCATCGACGACACCCGCCATGTAAACCTTTGTCCCTTAAAGTAGGCAATGTCACGTTCTCAAATGAGAACAAAGTATACAACAACGGAACCAACAGGCAAAACAACGAGCATTAAATACGTCCAGCTTCGTGTCGCACAAAGACATAAAATATTTCTCAATGAGATCACTATGGCGACCACAAAACTTACCCATAATTTTCAGCAACCTGCATCTTTTGATTTAAACCCTTGTATTATGAGCTTATCACTCACTTGATGACTTCTTGCACGAAAATCTTGATAATGGGAATAGGACATTGAAAATTGGATCAACTGTGACATGTAGATACCATAGGTTGGAGATGCAAGGATATTGCTATCCAGAAATGGAAAATTCACAACAGGGAAATTGAATTCATCACGTTTATAATACAGCTTGATGGAAAGCTGTCCATGTTGGTTTCGTTGTAGGAAAAGATCGAGAAACGCAGCTGGTGTAGAAGAGTCTGTCGTATCTTTTGTTTCCAATCATGATAAGTATACACGGTGGACGTTGTCAATAATTTTTTTGTTATTCAAAAACAAGGCGTCATCAATATATCTTCAGGTGAAATTAAATGACTTTGCCAGATCTTTGTGGTCTGTTTTAGGCTCTTCAATAACTTCAGACTCGTTTGAAAATTAAAACAAGTTTGCCAACAGAGGGCACAGTTAGTTTCCATAAGTATGCCAATAGTCTATAGAAAGACTTTACCATTTTACCAAGATCTTTTCAACCAGATACTCGATCATTTTGTATGATTTCGTCCTCCATATATTTCTTATTTGATTGGGACGTAAATTTTATGAAATACGCATCAGTATACTAGTAGTACACAACCATATAAATATACCGCCGTTCGACTTTCTTGGAAAAGAATGCTCTCTTAACAAGAGAACAAGGGCGTTCCTTCAGTTTAGAATGGGGCATGGTGGTGTACAGGATGCAAAATCTTAATGTTCTTATAGAAGAAATATTTTTAGAAGAGGATGTTGAAGATTGGTCAATAGTAAGTTGGAAATACTTGATGCCCAATAGTAAGTTGGAAGTGTTTGATGCCCAATAGTAAGTTGGAAGTGTTTGATGATCATTAGTAAGTTGGAAGTGTTTGATGCCCATTAGTATGTTGAAAACGTTTGATGATCATTAGTAAGTTGGAGGTGTTTGATGCCCAATAGTAACTTGGAAGTGTTTGATGATCATTAGTAAGTTGGAGGTGTTTGATGCCCATCAGTTAGTTGGAAGTGTTTGATGCCCATTAGTATGTTGAAAACGTTTGATGATCATTAGTAACTTGGAAGTGTTTGATGATCATTAGTAAGTTGGAGGTGTTTGATGCCCATCAGTTAGTTGGAAGTGTTTGATGCCCATTAGTATGTTGAAAACGTTTGATGGTCATCAGTTAGTTTTAAGTGTTTGATGCCCATTAGTATGTTGAAAACGTTTGATGGTCATCAGTTAGTTGGAAGTGTTTGATGCCCATTAGTATGTTGAAAACGTTTGATGGTCATCAGTTAGTTGGAAGTGTTTGATGATCATTAGTAACTTGGAAGTGTTTGATGCCCATCAGTTAGTTGGAAGTGTTTGATGCCCATTAGTATGTTGAAAACGTTTGATGGTCATCAGTTAGTTTTAAGTGTTTGATGATCATTAGTAAGTTGAAAGTGTTTGATGCCCATTAGTAAGTTGGAAGTGTTTGATGATCACTAGTAAGTTGGAGGTGTTTGATGCCCATCAGTTAGTTGGAAGTGTTTGATGCCCATTAGTATGTTGAAAACGTTTGATGCCCATCAGTTAGTTGGAAGTGTTTGATGCCCATTAGTATGTTGAAAACGTTTGATGTCATTAGTAAGTTGGAAATGTTTGATGATCATTAGTAAGTTTTAAGTGTTTGATGCCCATTAGTAAGTTGGAAGTGTTTGAAGTCCATTAGTAAGTTGGAAGTGTTTGATGTCCATTAGTAAGTTGGAAGTGTTTGATGCCCATCAGTAAGTTAGAAGTGTTTCCTTGCTCTTATACGGAAGTTTAATGTTACTATATTAATTGACCAGAATTTGCATGGTGCTTGTCGTTGATGGAGCGGGAGTCATTTACCATTCCATGTCTTTAGAAATATCACTGTAAATAATTCTTTTGTCCTTATTTTGCCCTAGTTTTATCAAGTTTGACTTTATGTTGACATGTCGGTATATTCTGCGATTTTCCTATAAAAGTATTCGTTTTAACTGACTCCAGTAAATATATTCGGGTAGATGAGATGTCATCGTTTTACATGCGTATGTAAACAACATATCCCAGTCGATCTCTTCGGGTAGTCACGCCCTCGTGCTGGTTGAATCGTTTGTATTTCGATTATTGCTATGTGTCGACATGCCAGACCGAGATTTTGTGCGAGATACCATAGAGATCTCTATCCCAGTCGTGACAGTATGTATACTTTGATATCGAACTGTGGAGTCATCGCAACTACAAATATTGTGTTCTTACTTTTCCATTCCAGGTTTTTTTTTCACTTTTCTAGTAATGTCTCAATACTGAAAAAGATTTGTTTCAGTTACCCTGTTGGTTTTATGCATTATGATTGTTTACGAATTTTGAACTCGTCATTCTTTCGTTCGTTTATTCCTCTGGAACATAAAGTTATTGTAATTATCTGTTAAATTTCTTTGTAATCAAGAAATATCTCTATTTCTTTTTTGTTATTAACTGATGTGTGAACTGCAATATTTTACAGATATTTTTTTATTTACGCTACTTATTTACGCAATTACGGTCCGTAGATATCGCCTAATGGTTAATGTAGAGAGTGGCTTACAGTGGATTACAACAGGGTTTAGACAACACATACTATAACTACAAGTACGGTCCATTGATATCGCCTAATGGTTAATAAAGAGAGCGAATTACAGTGGATTACAACAGGGTTTGGACAAGACATCAGAATCATTACTGTAGTATTTACTATTACAGAAGTTTTATGATATCATCTTAATCTAAAACAAT